ATAGTATGCCCAGAAGTCTGATGAAGAGGACTTTATATTCAAAAATTCTTTGTCTAAAAAGGACATATAAACATTTATGTTCTATTTTTACAAAGCTGGTTGCTTTATTGATTCACTTTGTTGCTCCTTCTTTAAAGTACTGGATGATTTACTTTCCTAGCAAAAGAAAAGGTGATTGTTTTTTGAGAGACTTATAAGTGTCTTTGTAAACACCCCCTTAAAAAAAAAAAAAATCCCTTAATAGGTTTCATAGATTTCTTCTCTGACTCTATATAGTGTTCAGAGGTTATTGTGTAACCTGATACAGTCTAAAACACTAAGGAAGAATCAAGACCATATCATTAAGATCTTTGTAGTTTGTTCTGTACTGGGGCTATAATTTTCATACACTCTAGATGTTCTCCTTCACTCCTATACTCTTCTGGCTGGTAAAAAGATTCAAATATTCACTTTCTGTTTCCTTTTTTGTAAAAGTCATGTTAGTATATAACATAAGTACTAATAATGTTTACAAGGTATACCAGCATGAACTATACCAGGCAGAAAAGATACAGTAAGTAATATTGCTGTGTAACTTCATTAGAAACTGAAATTCTAACAAACACCCTATTCACCAGTTCGAATAGGTGGAAAGCTGCATTCCCTGAGGGAGACAGAGTATAACTAATGCAGCACAATGCCCATTACATACTGATGTTCCCAATGCTGGAAATGTGCATTTTGATACTGTCCGCACACACATTCTAAAAGTAATTATCACATAAGTCCAAAATGTAATATGTGGCCAAAAATACCATAATGTAAATTATCATAGTAAGTCACTTCTTTGAACCTCCATCTTGAGATTTTGGGGAACTGTTTCAGCTTGAAGAGTTACAAATTGAAAATATGGAAATGTAGAAAAAATGTGACGTGTATCTGTTTTGAACCTCTTACCCATGATTACAGAGACAATCTAAGAGGAAATATATTCTGAACAACATTAATTAATTTAAATTTAATAGGTGCCAGGAGCAATTCTTGCAGAAAAAATAAGTGACAGACAGAAAATGCTAGAGTAAAAATACAAGTAGACACAGTTTAAAATGCATTTTTATGTGATCTCAATTCTATTTTTCCATTAATAATGCCTTGATGCTTTGCCTGATGTGATAATTATTTCATTTAAATAGAGCATCTGAGGATACACTCTAAGACCAAGTAGCCAGACAGATAGTAAGTGGTAAATGTAACTTTTGGTCTCTTTCAAAGGGCTCCCCTCAGCACTGGAATTGCACCTATTTGACAATGATGCATACAAAGAAGAACTCCACACCTGCAGATTTCACAGAGTCTGATAAAAGTTTATACATTTACAGTATTATATTAAATATTTTCTTGAAATAAGCAACAAAGAAGCAAATCTGAAAAGCTTGCCTTACTCTACTCCAATCAAAATCCTTAGCAAAAAAAAAAATCACCAAATATTTTTGACCTGTCAGCCTCACCTCTGTGCCTGGGAAGATCATGGAACAGATCCTCCTAGAAGCTATGCTCAAGCACATGGAGGACAGGGAGGTGATTCGAGACAGCAAGCATGGATTTTCCAAGGGCAAGTCCTGCTTGACCAACCTAGTGGCTTTCTATGAAGGAGTGACTGCATCAGTGGACAAGGAAAAACAATGGATGTCATCTGTTTGGACTTCTGTAAAGCGTTCAACAGTCCCCCACAACACCCTTCTCTCTATATTGGGGAGATATGGATTTGATGGGTGGACTGTTCAGTGGATAAGGAATGGGCTGGATGGTCACATCCAGAGGGTCATGGTCAACAGTTCAATGTCCACATGGAGACCGGTGACAAGTGGAGTCCCTCAGGGGTCCGTACTGGGACCGGTGCTGTTTAACATCTTCATCAATGACATAGACAGTGGGATCGAGTGCACCCTCAGCAAGTTTGCAGATGACACCAAGCTGAGTGGTGCCGTTGACATGCCAGAAGAACGAGATGTCATCCAAAGGGACCTGGACAAGCTGGAGAGGTGGGCCTCTGTGAACCTCATGAGGTTCAACAAGGCCAAGTGCAAGGTTCTGCACCTGGGAAGGGGCAACCCCCGATATCAATACAGGCTGGGGGATGAAGGGATTGAGAGCAGCCCTGCAGAGAAGGACTTGGGGGTACTGGTGGATGAAAAGCTGGACGTGAGCTAACAACGTGTGCTTGCAGCCCAGAACGCCAACCCTGTCCTGGCCTGCATCAAAAGAAGCATTGCTAGCAGGTCGAGGGAGGTGATTCTGCCCCTCTACTCTGCTCTGGTGAGACCTCACCTGGAGCACTGCGTCCAGCTCTGGGGCCCTCAGCACAAGAAGGACATGGACCTGTTGGAGTGGGTCCAGAAGAGGGCCACAAAAATGATCCGAGGGCTGGAGCACCTCTCCTGTGAGGCCAGGCTGAGGGAGTTGGGGTTGTTCAGCCTGGAGAAGAGAAGGCTGCGAGGAGACCTTATTGCGGCCTTTCAGTACTTGAAGGGGGCTTATAGGAAGGATGGGGGCAATCCTTTCAGCAAGGCCTGTTGTGACAGGACAAGGAGTAATGGTTTTAAAATAAAGAATAGAATTAGACCACATATAAGGAAGAAATTTTTTACAATGAGGGTGGTGAAGCACTGGAACAGGTTGCCCAGAGAGGTAGTGGAGGCCCCATCCCTGGCAACATTCAAGGTCAGGTTGGCTGGGGCTCTGAGCAACCTGATCTGGTTAAAGCTGTCCCTGCTCACTGCAGGGGGGTGGGCTGGATTACCTCTAAAGGTCCCTTCCAACCCAAAGCATTCTATGATTCTATGATTTTAGGAAAACCCATTAACTGCTGTTAATGTCCATGTTTTGTTCATCTGTTGGTCTCTTCTTAACATAACAGGTATGTCCACAAAATACTTTTTTTTTTGCTATTAGCCTTTCTATTCAGAAAAGCTGGTGAGTACAGTCCTGTGATAAGATAACTGTGATGGATGGCATCTTTTTTATTGTTTAGTCTGTGTTTCTGTTCTGTTGAGGAGCGGCTTGGTTTTGGGTCTGTTTTTTGTGGGATTTTGGTTTTGGCTTTGTTTTCCAGAAAAGTGGAAGAGGTTGCAAACACTGAAATCAGGAAGAAATCACTCTTTCTTTGGAGGAATTACTAAGCTTGCTTAGCAGGCACATTTGAGACTACAAGTTTTGACTGGCCAGGAAGACAAACAATGCAGCTGGAAACCTGCAGGTTTTAAAGAGACTGAGAAGTTGCACTGAGGAAAATGGAGCAGACAAGTGATGCTAGAGATATGATCAAAATTTTAGGGAACAAAGCAACTTAAAATGTCATTCAGTTAACTGGTGTTAAGCCTGTAAGCAGGGAATTGCTGGGAAGAACAAAGCAGGTGAGGAGAAATGTATAAAGCATTTTATTTCTTTTTTTTGTTGTTCCTATTTGCTTTGAGGTTTTTTTTAATTCAGAAATATTTATATTGTATTTTTTATTCCAATAAAATTTGGGTTTTCTACTTCAAATGTCTTTTGGTCTGTAATTCACTACGAAAAATATTATAGGTTTATTCTCTTCAAAGCTCTGGTTGACTGGAGGTCTTGTAAAAGTGAGTGAACATTTTAGAAGAGGGAAGGCAGGAGGTAAAGAATTGCTATAAATTCTTCAGAGTGAGAAAGATTACTAGATAGTTGCCACATAGTTTAATACCAGGCACCGTTTGTTATTATGATTAATGCTTTGGGTGACAGTACAGAAGATATACAAGTGGTAGGATTTAGACCATTGTAAAAAAATCCTGTAATGAAATGGAATCAGACTCTGTACAAGTCAAAGCAATAGAAAAACACACATATTTGTAGGTGACCATGCATGCCTCACTACATCTAAATTTTAAAATGCAGATAAATGTAAAGTGCTGTAGGTGGGCATTCTTATTCTAACTAACTATGCATTACATTTACATTAACAATAAAGGACTCCAGCCAATGCAACATACTAATCTCAAGGCAGTCAGTTCTCTATTGCTTGTAATTATATCAGTGTGTAATGTCTTAAAATAGAATTCTCCAATTCAGACAGAAGCCATAGTATTGACACAGTTACTAATAAAATTCTCTCTTCACTGTGGTATGAAGAACAGTCTATATGACCATTAGAGCTTATGAATTTAAAATTTCGTACTTATATGGGCTCATGAATAATGGCACCAGTTAATGAATTTGCAAACTACTTTATCCCTCAGAACTTACCCTTGTTAGATATTGCAGGAATCCCAATGAGGCTGTGTAAATTTTCAAACAGGCTGTATTGGAATCCTTGGTTTGCTGACAAATTATGGATTTTATATTATATACATGACACTTTCTTTGGTTGACAGAGTTCTAGCAAGTACACAGTTTGTATCTAACTTTCCCTGCAAAGATCAGTTTTGACAGTAGGCAACATACTGTGTAAACAACATGCCAGACTCAAGGGTTATACAGATGTACACCCCCGCACATACCCCTATGCCCATCATCACGTAGGCAGGAAATGGCTGGGTCAGTGACTATAATCAAATTCATTTGTACTTAGAACAGACCTGTAGGCACCTACATTTTGCAGTGACTGACTCCTTTCAATAACCTATTTTACATACTTAAATTAGAGATCTGAGTTTCATTACAGCGTTCCTAGTTTCAGAGCAATATTCCCTGAGAAGTTGCCCAAAGGGTTGAAAGGTAAGGTTAAGGACATATTGGGTGTTAAATCAATGCTGAAAGCTTCAGAGAATTTACTGGTTACTAAATGCATGCAATTTTAATCCAAGAAAATAATTTGGTTCTTATGTAGCACATACATACTTATCCAAGAGTTATCCAAATCAGCATTTTTATATCACACTTTAACAATAAGATTCTCAAAATATTGAAAACTATTTCAGATTTTTTTTTTTTTAAATTTATAAATTTAGTCAACACTACCAGTGACATTTATATATCTATATGAATATCTTTGGTACCTGTAAGTGATATGTTTGTGTTGCCATTTCTGTCCTGTTAACGCGTAGCGTTTCCGCCGAATGTTAAATTTGGAGTTACCTCTTGTTTGGTCAGGCACACCACATCGAGGCTTCTTCATCCAGCTGCAAGAAACAGCACCACATAGTTAAAGCAACATGAAAGAAAAATCATAACCACTGTACTCAACTAATAAAAACATCATACTCTTTTGAAGTTACAGTATTATCAATTATGTGTCTACATGCAAGAAAGAGTAACAAAAGGAACAGTTATCTTGTTACCAGATGTATACTTTGTAGAACTTCATTGCATTCCATGACATTCAGAAACCAATTTCGTTGCTGTTATTTTTCCTAGTTTTCTTTTGCTACAACCTCTGAACAAAGACTTCACAACTGGACAAGTCTTTCACAGTCAATAATTTATTCTGATTCATTCAAGGTAATTATGGTCTGTATTACTAGCTTGTTTCCCGAAGGTGAAGTTAAAGTATATACACAAAGGTTTAGTCAAATCGCAAGTTCCTAAATTATTTTTTTGTATTCTGTGATCCTTCTGTTTTGTCTCATTGTTACAATATTTAAACAAGCCTTGACTTGTCAACTACCAGAATTTTTTTTTTAATTCAAGATACTGAAACCACTAACTTTATGATACTATTAAGTTATTCTATCTTATTCTCTTTCCACACAATGAAGAGTATCTCATTGCAACTGTAAGTTCCTACTGGAGATATTTAACTCAAGAATATTTAATGCACTGCACAAAATCAAGCTGAAAAGGTCTAAATCACAAACAACAAAAATGACCATTGCAGCAGCACCAGGCTTTCCACAGAAGCACTCCATTTTTACTGTGGCCTTCAATATTTCAATGTTTTCCAATATTTCAAAAATTTCAAATTTGTCAGAATTCCAAATATGTCAATATTAGAATGATATCTAATTCAAAAGCATGAGTTCAACAGCAGTATCATTGAACTGTTTCTCACTTGTAGTGTAAGGGGTTATTTAGTTTGAGTAAAAGTGAACAAAACTCAGCTGAAATTATTTTATATGAGCTGAATAGCTGCAGAACAATTTACTATCAGGAAGATAGTAAGATTAAAGATATTCACTGCATAAGTAAAGACAGATGTCCTCTGTTACTTTTCCAGTTCATTTGACTTTATTTCTATCATGCCAAATAATTACTGATGTAAAAGCTATAGCTTTCTGATGCTATTTACCACAAGAGCAGTCATACCCTGTATTCAGGCTTGCATGAATGAATTTCTGACCATTAAAATGGCATTTAAGCATTGTTTCATAAATAAATATACACACAGCAACTGCATGTATGTATGACTGGATGACAGAAAAGTCATTTGAAATGTCATCTCAGAACACAGACTCCTTTTAAAACATGCACAGGTAACAAAAACTCAAAAAAACAACCAGCCAAGTATCTTTCATCTTTTCCAGTAGATATTCTTAGCTCAATACATGCAAAATGAAGAAAACCATCTTGTTTTGTCCAAAAGAAATTGTGGAATATTTGCAGTACAAAGGAGTAGTGTGTGTATATAAAAAACTACACAGTCTAATGAAATCATTGATTTTTCAGTTCTGTACTCAAGGAATGAGATGTACATTGTAAGTTTTACACCTACTAATACAAGACAAACCATATAGCATACTGAATGAATTTTTAGAGATGGGCTAATCCAGTCAAAATCAGCCACACTAATTTTCATTAATCCGTGTGAAGAGGTTTAAAAGTACAGCCAGAGTTATAACACTTCATATATGCTGTAGCTATGCTATATAAGCAAACTATTGTTTAAATTCATAAGTAGGAGTTAAGCTCACCAGCCTGTGTGAAAATACAAAATTTTAGTAATAGTGCCAAGATGGCACTGCACCCTACTTGCACTGATAAAGGCTATAGAAGTGCCTGCAAAAACTTTGATGGGTGACACATCCATCAAGTAGTACAAGTGGGGAAGCCAAAACTTATGAATTTGACTGCCTGAACTGAAGACACTGAGTTCACAGTTACCTTTTTCAAATAAGAAACACAGAATTATTTGCTCTAATTTCTGGTCAGAATAATTACAAAGTATGCATGGCACATAAAACAGTTGACTATTATTTGTATTTGCAAGGAAAACAATCTTCTTTCCTTAGTGTCTGCAAAGACAGTACTGCAAAATCTATAAAACTTTATCCCACCAGTATTTGCTGAAACACCCTGCAACTTTACTTCAGGTTCCTCTGTTTTTTTAAAAGAAGTGTGAATTCAACAAAGTAGGCACTAGCGATTTCTGGGATGAAATAGTATTGAAAAGTTTAATTTGCTCTAAAAATAAAAGAAAATGAAGGAAAGAAGGAAATCTTCATTACAGACCAAAGGGCAGCTCTATTCTTCTTAGTAAAATGGTATCATATTTACACTTCAGCAAATGAGATTAAAATTGCCTCAGACCTCAGAAAACTTTCAGACACATTGTCAGTAATACTTTTTTGCAGTGCATGTTATATCACCATGCAGTTATAAGGCATTTTAATGTCAGGGTATATTTAAATTATGCTGTTGAAACTGCACACACACATTGCAAAAAAAAGACATATACGTAACAAAAGATTAGTGTTCTCACCTTAAGGTGATATCACTACCTCAAAAGAAAGAAGCAAGGAATAAAGCAAAAACAAATAACTTATATTTTGTTAGAAACACTGTACAAAAATATCAGGGTCTTGTACGAAATATATAATACATCTCTTACAGTTGCATTGTTTCAAGGGCAATGACTTTAAATCAATTGAATTAGGCCTCCCCCCCAAAAAAAAGTTTAAATTATTTAGCTTAACTGATGAAGACCTGTTTTAATACAGGGTTTTCTCATTGGTTTGCCCCTGGTAAGCCAGGGCTGCCCCTGGCAGATAAGTGTTAATATTCCAAGTTGTGAATTTCAAAATTAATCTTCAAAGCTGTTATTGAAAAAAATCTCCCAAGTTATGTCAAAGGTTCAATACTCTTACAGAAAATAAAGTTAGCATAAAATGTTTTACACTTAAGATTCAATACAAAAACTCAAGAACAGTAGGTAGCATAGATTCAAAATTCAACATTGTATTATCTTACTAGAAATACTGACATTCCATTTTTAGCAAAACAAAACATAGCCCAAAATAACATGTTATGAAATTCAAGCAGTCACAATTTGTTCTTGCATTGATTTTGAAGTGGTATGTACCTATCAAACACATTATGCTTGTATCCTTATTGGTTTGGATAGGCAGGGGATGTTCCATGTTGTCATGCTGTCTGGCCCACTAATGTTCTTGCTGTTCTTACATGAGGACTGGGACTGTGGTTCACATACAGTATAAATCCCAATGTAAATCAAATGTAAGCCTTTTGCAGAAGTGGTTCACTAGCTTTCAGGAAATTATCTTCATGTAAATTTTACAGTAAGGTGCAATTTGAAGATGAAGAGTTGGGCTATCACCTCTATCATCTAGATCTTAGCTGAGCTAAGTTTATCAGTCAGAATTTTAAACAAATTATTACATGGTTGGCATTGGAGTTCAGTATTTTCTAGCACAGAAATGAGGCAAAATGTTAACAACTTCTGGTACATAAATTTTCCTTTTTTTTTAATATGTTAAACTGAACAGTAATTGTTCTCACACTGACTAGGAGGAAGACTTCTATCAGTAATAATCATTAATGCTCATGACATTTGGGGATACTTAGTGTGTAATAGGCTCTTCTATCTGGGGGGAATTGACAAATAAAACATTCATTTCTATTTTCTTCCAAATACAGCTGCTTTTAACATAACATAGAATCATAGAATCATAGAATGTACATGATCAAGGTCTTCCATGTTCTTGATTGCTTGTTGAATTTTAATTATTTTTTTTAAATAAATATTTTTCACTTAAAAAAGGTGCACACTGATAACAACTTTGCCTCTCTTTCATCTGTTTGTTTCTGAACTTGTAGAAATCTTTTACGCAGCAGCCCCTGAAAATTAATATTTTATCAGTACTCAATAAAGAGGCTTAATTGTGACTAATGTACTCTATCTGTAGACTCTGTCACATTAAATTCTTCTCTTAGCTCCATTAGTTTGAATCTTGAGGAGCTATTTATGTCAAGAGAATTAAAACAGTTTAGACTCACAGAAAAAGATTAAAATAAAAATATGCAGCAAAACTGTAATGTTCTTCCAGCAGAGAGAGTGCTGAAACTGAACTTCTCGTAACTCAAGCCAGTTGCCTAACCATATTTTGTTCTCGGGGGTTAAGAGGAAGAATCTCTTTCTGTCTCCTCACTTTCTTAAGCCTTCAGGAAAAAGTTTTGGTCTAACATGGAATCAAAACATTAAAAAACCCTACCTTTGGTTAAATGCCCCGCCTCGTTTACCCCTAATCAAAACTGCTGCTTAGGTTGTATAATGTTTTTGTTGGTGGTGGCTTTTGCAGTTTGTTTTGTCAGAGTTACAGTAAAAAAGGAAAATAAAAGGGAGAGTCCAACTAGACTTAGTGCAGCTTGACTTAGTGGTTAGAAAAACTATAGATATTTATTTAAGAAAATGAGAAATGGTACCCTTAAACTTCTTGTGAGGAGAGATAGATATATTTTCTAAAATCTTTACTCTTCCCTACTGTACTCTGCTATTACATGATTTTTACTGACAGTCCTCTAAGTAATAGGAAGGAGTCAAAGAGTGCATAAGATACTGTATTTCAGCCCTGTTACTGATGATGATTTGTCTGCAAAGCTTCTCATTGGATGTTTGCTGAGGGTACAAGACCTTCCATATAGATTTTGTACAAAACATTTACTCATGAAACAGACCACTGAGTCGATTTCAACAGCTCAAAATTTACTGTTCACCCTTACTCCGAGACTGATAATTAATACATAAACAGCAGAGATCACACATAAGTATGATTACATACATCTTAATTAGGAACCTTGAAGTAAACTTGGTTAGAAGCTCATCTGAGCATTCAAATAAGTACATTTGCTATTTATTTATAAAGGATTAAAATTAAATGAATGCTTTGTTACTATTACATAGATTTAGTCAGCATCCTATACACATTCTATCTGTATACCAAGAAGTTTGTAACATACCCCTTTAAACTGCAAACCATGCTTTGGACATAAACACATATAGCAGTTTTAAGAAAAGACAACAACTAGTCTTTTTCTACTTAGTATGTTTGGTTTAGGGATGTGAAAGACCAGGATGCCAACAGTGGGTCCATTTTGGAAGTATCCTTTTTAATGAATCATTGTGTTCGGTAATATATAAATGAATCACAGAAAATAGTGTGGCACCCCATGCAAACGTCAGATAGTATTTTCATTGGGTTTGCCATTGTCATGATACATTGTCATGATACAGGATACATTACCTGGACAAGCTGGAGAGGTGGGCCTGTGTGAACCTCATGAGGTTCAACAAGGCCAAGTGCAAGGTTCTGCACCTGGGAAGGGGCAACCCCCGATATCAATACAGGCTGGGGGATGAAGGGATTGAGAGCAGCCCTGCAGAGAAGGACTTGGGGGTACTGGTGGATGAAAAGCTGGACGTGAGCCAACAACGTGTGCTTGCAGCCCAGAACGCCAACCCTGTCCTGGCCTGCATCAAAAGAAGCATTGCTAGCAGGTCAAGGGAGGTGATTCTGCCCCTCTACTCTGCTCTGTCCAGCTCTGGGGCCCTCAGCACAAGAATGACATGGACCTGCTGGAGCGGGTCCAGAGGAGGGCCACAAAAATAATCCAAGGGCTGGAGCACCTCTCCTACAAGGACAGGCTGAGAGAGTTGGGGTTGTTCAGCCTGGAGAAGAGAAGGCTGCGAGGAGACCTTATTGTGGCCTTTCAGTACTTGAAGGGGGCTTATAGGAAGGATGGGGAGAATCTTTTTAATAAGGCCTGTTGTGACAGGACAAGGAGTAATGGTTTTAAAATAAAGAAGAATAGAATTAGATTAGACATTAGAAAGAAGTTTTTTACAATGAGGGTGGTGAAGCACTGGAACAGGTTGCCCAGAGCGGTGGTAGAGGCCCCATCCCTGGCAACATTCAAGGTCAGGTTGGACGGGGCTCTGAGCAAACTGATCTGGTTAAAGCTGTCCCTGCTCACGGCAGGGGGGTTGGGCTAGATGACGTCTAAAGGTGCCTTCCAACCCAAAGCATTCTATGATTCTATGATTCTATGATTCTATGTATTCAGAATGTCCCTCATATTTTTACGCCATTATAATGATGTGTCTTTCTACCACTCCCTCTTCCTTATCCCCAGCAATAAGCATGCATCATGCTTTTCACTTGGGAAACAAATTAAACAATATAGCAAAAAAAAGTGGATGGTGAGTAGTAGGGGGAAGATGAACACTGTTCATATTTATGCATACCAAAATACTCATTGAAGGATTATCTTCTTTTCAGAGCAACAAAATCCCCCCAGGAGACTTTTGATGCTGCTGCTGCAGGACATAATTTCTCTGTTAATATCCCCAAAGTTGGTTCCTATTAAGTTGCTACTATAACTTCTTCTAATTGTTTGTCCTTCTGAAGATGAAGAGGCACATCATAATCTCTTCTCAAGACATGCTAGAGAAGCAGGTAAATCCTCATGCACAAGATGAGAACATATTGTTTTTATGAGGTTTCTGCTGTACTCTTTATTTTGTAACCTCAGCATTGTATGCGATTATAACATAGTAATCACAGAGAAACAAATGGTAAACTGTCACATATTTCCGGCCAAAAGAGAGTATATATACTTTCTGTGTAGATGAAATGGAAAATTATTTCAAACATTGACAAAATACTGCCATAAATGAACAACTGGAAAAAAAAATATATCCTTTGTTACATAGTCGTACCTCCCAAGAATATTCAGTGGTGTTAATTGATGGTAACTTGAGGCCACAGTTTAGTTTAATGAGTTTGTTTTTTTTTCTCAACACCAATGCATATGTGACAAGTCTTTAAGAAACAGTTTTGTTCCCAACTTGACTCAAGTTAATGCAACTCCAAATTGTAAGTAAATGCAGAATTCATCCAGCATGAGTTATATGTACCTAAGAATTGCCATGCTTTAATATATCTTTCTGTGTAGAAGAAAATCATGCGTCAAAAGATTTGGAAGACTCAATATTGACCAGATTCTAAAATTAATGCTGTGGACTTCTGCATAGATGGATTCCTTTGTCTCTTACACAGCAGAAGAAGTGAAGATAACCTTGCTGACACGCTGGCCAACAAGCCCAATTTAGCAAACATAAACCACTTCCCTTTGCAATTCAAGTTTTGGGTTGGTTTGTTTTTTTCCAACTCACTAGCTGATACACTAAACTAAGAGATGGCCTCTGCTTCTCCTTAGGTTACCACTTTCTATTTTCTCTGTACTGCTAACTGTGAACAGATTATTTCCCTTTTAGTGAATATATTGCCTCTTACAAAGCTGTCACTAATGTGTCTTTAGTAGGCTACTAGCGACTAGTATAGCAGCACTCTCCCCTCAAGGATCAATCACTGAAGCTGGATAAAAAGCCTAGCCTCTCCACCCTGCAGATTGCATCCTAAACATACTTTTGAGAGTGGTTCTCTCACAAGGCGTTTACTGATATTGCACTGCATGTTCCAAGGTCCTTTAAATTTCTAAACTGAGGGATGTGTGATCAGCTCACCTCCCCTCGGGGCGCCCTAAAATCTGCTTTGTTTTATTGATTTTCAATGCAATAATGCATGTGCCAGTGGAATAAAATGATTTTTCCAATCCTGCCAGCATTTTGGGTAATCTCTTCCCTAAACTCTGAATGATAGAAAAATCATTCATGTCAGCTACTTTACCAAAAAAGAATAATGAATGACAACACATTGGGTTGGGGCTGGAAAACGGGAAAAGAAGGAGGGTTTTTTTTGCCCCCCCAAAAGCATTTTAGAGAAGTAGTAGAAACATATTCCACTAAAGTAAATGTTGGATATGTAGTGACAGTACAATTTTTTTATTTTTTGCTTTTCAAGTAAAGCAACTTTTTGTAAAATCACAAGATGACCTTTATTGCATTGTAACTGGAATGAGTCCAACAAGCACTTCAAATCTTAATCCCAGACACATTTTCTTAATTGTGTGCTAATACTCTTTTTTTCTTTTTTTCTTTTTTTTGCATTTTCCTGGCACATTTTTTAAATTTGGCATAATATAGAGTTGTTTGGAAGTGTCTTTTAATAGCTCTGTTTCCCAAAGTTTCTCTGTCTTCAGTCTGTCAGTAAAATCAGAAGCTGCCAGCCTTACACAACTTCAGAATCGCAAAGGGCATGCAAAACTAATCAAATTTTACTGCATGTTAAAATGACCACACCTGCTTTTTTGTAACTGGAAAACATTAAATGAATGGGCCAGTGGAGTGTGCTAAAATTTTTTTCAATGACGATAAGGAAATTTACACTAAAGGTTTTCCAGTAAGAAAAGACTCTTTCAACTGTGAAACATTTAATGAATTCTTGCGATTTTTGAATAGGTTTCTCCACTTCCACATTGATAACCTTTTGGCCCTTTCTTTAGTTAACCCTGAAGCATTTTCTTTACAATCGCATGCCCAGAGGCAGACAGCAGTTAGGCAGGTGACTACCTGCTACCATGAAATACAGAAAATGAAAAAAAAAAAAAAAAAAAGGCAAGGAGAGAGAGAAACATTTTAAATCCCCATCTGAAGCTGCAACACTATTTGGATGTCCCGGTCACCCTGCTTCATGTATTATAAAGTTTTTCCAGTTCTATTTTACCCTGCTTGAAACAGAAAAGTCAAGAGCAGTTCAGTACTGGTTACTTACTCAATTGTGTTCCTGTCCACTTTTCCTGTCATATTAATGCCATAGAACTGCTGCATGGCAGCTATAGCTGATTGCATGGTTTCGGCAGAGCGCAACACCGACATTCGGGGGTCAGTTGGTGGAAGGTAGCCATACTTTTGTAACCATACCTGCAATGACAAGTGCAGTGGCTATTAAATAGAAATTAGAGGTAAATAAAATGCTCCCTAGTAATTAGTTCTGTACCATATATAATGAAACTTCTAGTTCACCAAGCATAAAACCTTTTAGTTTGGGATTGGGTTTGTTTTGTTTTGTTTTGTTTTTTCAGAGAAGAAATTCTTTGGAGCTTTTATTTCATCTCCTTTATTAAAGATTCTGCTGGTTTAAGACTTACAGTGTTTTCTACCCAGGAGCCAGCACTCTCTGTTGTCTGAAACTGCTTGCTTCACAATTATTTATTTAATGTATTTATTTATTTGAAGTTACAACTTAAGCACCTGACCCTGGCTCTAGGCACTTCAAGAAATTTTTAAAGCAGAGAAAATGTAAAATCTACAATATATGCCGCATATAATTGACTGTCCACAGGGAACATAACAACATTCACCAACTACAAGAATAAGTCTACAATAGCTATCACACAGTTACACTATATTGTTGTCATCTCTCAAAGAATACGAAAGAGAGGGTGGGGGGACATTCAGCTTTCTGAGAAGAATAGCAGAATCGCATACTTATAGGCAAAGCAGGTGGACAGCAGGTAGTGAAGTAGCAGAGTCTGTCCCCACTTACGGGAAACTCCCTGATAAGAGGATCTTCCTTTTTAAATCAAGATGGATATAATGCCAACTGTTTATGCTCTTAATTGTGTACAAGTGAGGGGGAGAAGGCATGGTCCAAATAACAGAAAGCTTTATGGATTAAAGCCAATATCTTAAGAACACCTGGAAAAAACCTCTGAAACATGCTGTCCTCTTGAGGCAATGTTTCATAAACAAGTAGCTGCGGTTATCTTAATGTTTCTAAGCATTCTCAAAATCTAGCCTATACAAAGCACAGCGTAAGACTTTCGAGGCAATGAGAGCACCGATACATCTTTAAAAATGTCTTAGCTTCTCTTCTAAGGACTGGAACTGCTCACTGGAATGAAAGGTACATATATTGCCAATCTACAAGACACAGTTAAATTGTATTGTTGCAGCTTCACTCTCCCGAGTAACAAAGTACTTGTGACTCCATAAATCTGATCTTCTGTTCTGTTCAAAAAAATGAATGGATAAACAAAAAAAAAAAATTGGTTCAGCCACCTCTTTCAAACGTATCACATCCTAGTTCACAGATTCTGAATCATTACATTAATGAATGTTATCCACCCACTCTCCCCTTATAGTGTGTTGTGGGCTCTGTCTGCCTCATACAACACTTCTGGGGTTTTTATCTGTTTATACACACTGTTTATACACAGCCTAACACCAAACTGTGTAGTCTGCAATTTTCAGCCTTAGGTTTAGCTTGCAGAGTCCACCCAATTCAGTTCCACAGCAGGTTAACCATGTTGGTGGTGCACTCCACTCTTTTATGGACCCAGTGAAGAACCTCAAGATGGATGAACTCATTGCTATGGTTCACTTTACTAACACTGAATGTGTATTATAGGTAAATATTGTCTCAGTCTAAATAAAAGATCAAACTGGCACTAAAGGTAGGGGAAATCTTCAGGCTATGAGCTCAGATATTTCTAATTTAAACAGGTTTACCTTCCCATAGTGCAGTTCAGACACAATCCCAACAATGTTTGTGAGCTCCACACAACAGGGAGATAGAGTACAGACAAGATTAAGACCCACCCTAACCTCTTTCACCTTCATGCTATCTCTATATACAGGAGCTATTCAGAATAAGAACAAAATTTTGTTTAATATATAGGAAGATGCTTTTATTTCCAGTATAAATGAATTGCTACAATCAGTACCTACATCCAACCTTACATACTCCTGACTTCTTGCACTTTTCAGCTTCAAGGGTGAGCTTGTGAACACTAAGTTTGTGCTAGATTTGGGTCATCACACAAATAATTTAGTTTATGTGTTGCTTTGCACAGGAAGTCTGTTTTGCCCTCCATTATTGGAAGAGAACTCTGAAAGGCCAGCTAGAGCTGGAAGGTTGGCAAGAGCAATACAATATGGGGAAAAAAGACGATGGAAGTAAGAAAGAAGTTTGACACAGAGTGGGTTGATTTCAATGCAGTGTGTAGAGCCCCTTTGCATTAATATTTACAATTAGTATATTTAAGAATAGGGCAATTTTGAGATTCCTCTTCTCAAGTCAGTGATATTAAAACAAATGATCGGTCAGGGAAGAAAAATAATTCTGAACAGCATGTCACTGTTGTCTAAAATGGTGCCACATTCTTGCCACCTTCTCGCCACCTTCTCAGCATGAATTTGGTATGCAGACACAGAGCAGGGCTTTTAATTAAGCTCTCTTTCAGGTGCTAAGGGCACACAAAAGTGCTTGGTAGGCTTGTGAGGCCACCTATCACCACTCGAAACCATCCTCACTGTGGCATAACGGAAGGAGACAGAAATGTGGGGTTACAAGTAACCAAATTTGCCAGGAGCTAAACCTTCAGATATCTGAATTAGAAAAGCTATAAAAAGAGAGACAGAAAAAATACCTTGGGGAGTACTACTCATGGAAGAAGTGGAGTAGAGAGGACCAACTAGAATCTAGCAGAGTGCCACTGCAGACACAGAAAAGGAAAAGAGAGGTGGCTCAGAAACAACAGGAGAGGACAGTGTAGCCTTTCCCCTTTTAAAAAGACTTAAATACAAGTTAAATACTGTATGTGTGATAGTCACTCCCTATCATTGAACAAAGGAAGTAGACCACTTGGGTCTTCCCTCAGTCTTCAAAAGAGCAACTAGAAGATACAGCCAACATACCGGAAAGTCAGATGACACTCTGAAAGCAAGTTTCTTTTTTTGAAAATTCAGACAAATTTACCTCCAAGACTAATAACTGGAGAATGCTTGAGAGTGAGTAGCATTTAGTAGTACTAAATGCTGCTAGTGTTCTGTACTTGCGAGAAAGGATCATGAAACAAGATAAGAATAAAAAATCTGTTTCCTGTTGCATTCCTCAGATTCCTCGATTTTCTATTAAGAAATTTTGAAAGACCTTGGCCCAGTCTACCAGATACTTGAAGTATGCCCCTCAGATTCTATTAGGCCCCTCAGATTCTATAGTCCAAATGCTGGGAAATATGGAGGAGAAGCTTAACTTTAAAATTAAGTTCAAAATATATAGGTGGGTAAAACAACAAAGAAGAAAAGAAACAGAATGAGGCAGACACAGCAGGAGAACAAAGGAAAACAATTTTCTCACAGTTTTGTATTTTTGAGGCAAACTATTAAAGAAGTTATGACCTCCCCCTCTACTGAAATTAGATGTCTCTCTGCCTTAATGTACTTCAGCAATGACAATGCAGCATTGGCAAGCCATCTATCATCCTGAGGAACTCATCTAGATGTTTTGGAACAAGAAAATAATGAAGTAGATCCATCTAACATGTAATATCTGGGATGCCAACAGAGACCCTTTGCACAGACTCCAAAATCAATGATATGTCCCATTCCTTTATACAGTTTAGGAAGATAAAATACTGTTACTTCAAGTGAAGTTTTTGGGCAGGACTTTCTTGTCCTGCAGCAATATGAAAGCCATGGTAACCTCTCATGATAACCACAGAAAAACGCAGCTGGAAGACAATGGGTTGCACCACTTCCCTCTCTATTACAGCTCTTTACTATCCTACTGCTGTGAAGTTTGCCTTAAAGTTGAATCTCTCTTATTATAATTTAAGCCTGTAACTTCTCATTTTACCTGCTACGGGTGAGGGGAACCGATTATTCCTTTCCCCTCTGCAGCAGCCTTTTATGTATTTGAACTCTCTTATGTGAGTCACTCTTTCTAATCTTTTTTAAATAAACTAAAGAAACCTCTTTTGTTTAATCTTATTTCATTGTCCATATTAACCTCCAGGAAACTAGAAGCTAAAATCTACCTTGACTAAGCATCTGCTTGGACTAGATCTGTATGTTTTTTCCCCATTGTTAGCCTATTAAAAAACACTGGAGTTTAGCTGAATTTTTAGCAGTAATTCAGAAGAACATGGTCACTCAAACTCTTCATTTTCTCGGGAAAAAAAAAAAGCCTAAAATTATTTTTTCTAATTGAACTTCAAGGCTTATGTCCCATATATCTATACATTTTAAACTTATAAAACCACACTTTACACACACTTTTTCCACCAGAAAAATTCTTTCACCATAATTCCACCTTCTCTTTTCATAATTGTAAGGAAAAAGATAAACAGAATCCATTTGTGATGAAAGTTGTAGAGATGCTAGGAGTTTGTTGGGGACATGCCACTTCTGCAGGAGTCCATGGAACCTGTAAGTGCTCAGCACACAAGCTGTATCACCTTCCAGATTTTGGATGTCACTGACTAGGTGCCTAAGGTTTGGAGGGTTTTCTGCCATGATGAAAGATCTTTTCATTTTAGTTTGCAAGTGCTACTAATGCTATGCTATACGGATCATCTGGCTATGGAATAGAGAGCACTTTGGCACATGGCTGTATGTTTGTCTCCTCTAAAGGATAAAGCATGGGCTAACTTAAAGTGTATTAAATACCCAATGGACTACAATCACTCAAATCTTTTCTAGTTTGGGAAGAAAGTGTGCTCTTAAAAACAGTACGTTGACACCAAACTGTTACTAAGAACAAAGAAAAACCATATATCATCATTGAAGATTAAACAAGAATATAATGAAGATAACTGGAGTTTCAGAGAGCTTACTGATTTCTAAGATAGAAGAGACTTATCAACAAATTATTAATGTTCCTGAACAACAGTACATAGTATAAGCTACAGCACAATTATGTTCTATGAACCTGAAAGCTCACTAAATCAAACAGTCTAATAAAGCACAGATCAAAACAATTTCATAAACACCTTCAGTAGTGCAGCTGCATATCATTATCATTCATGTATTCCTGTTCCTTTTTTAGATTTTATCATGCAAACAAAATTCCTGTCTGTACTGAGTAAAACTGAGATTTCATAATATCAAAATATTTTGACTTTTGTTTTTTTAATAC